AGACTCCAAATCTAAAACGTATGTGGAGGTATTGGAAAATATCCACACTAATGCACCCTTGTTGGAAGTCTTGCATAAAAAGAGGAAATTAGAGGACCGTGAAACTAGGGATATAATTACTGTTAAGAAGGTAAGGTTAACCTTTGAGGTGATGGATGAAATCACTAAGCCCAAACTTGAAAAGTTGATACTTAGGATAGATCCAGAACCACCACCACAAGTTCAGAAGAATGAACCACCCCACAGAAGAAGTAAAAGAAAATGTGAGGGATATGTGAGATGGATTGATAAGTGGCCATGGAAAATGACAACTACTAAAAGTTCAACCGAGGAGTCATCCTCAAAAGAACCACCATGAGTGCTTGCACTCCTGTTCGTCAGGCTTATGACGTTAAACAAAGTGCTAAGTGGGAGGCAACCCACTTATTTGTTAATTGTTATTTGTTTCTATACTTTTCGTTTTTGCATTTATTCCTATTTAAGTTTTATTTTTCTTTCTTTTGTTCTAATTTCTATAAAACTGCTGCTGATTTCAAAATAATTTTAATTGCCACAGGATTTCTGAAAAGTTTTTGTTTCTCTTCTACCTTCTCTTCTGACTTGTTTCCCTAACAATAACCATGGAACCAAAGCCACATAATTTCTTGGAAACCACCTTTAGGGGTATAAACCAAAAGAGAAAATTCGAGGAATTATATGATAGTATTAATAAGATTGTTACCACACTTGATACCTACCAGACTAACATTAATGGAATTAAAGATGAAATAAAAAGCATGCGTCTGGAGATAGTGGGATTAACTGATATAACCGTGGAGCAATTTTATCACATTCATAATTCACTCGAAGACATAAAAGCAAAGCTTGGATGAATTCACAAATGGCAGCTCCAGTTTTATATTTCATTTCGTTTTGTTTCTAGGAAGTTTCCCATTTTTGGCACACTTTCAGTTTCGTTCTAAATTTAGAACAAATTTATTTTTATGTAGTTTTTGAGTTTCTGGTGTTGAACAAGCAAATTTGCGAAATCACAGTTTCAGTCATTTAATACTCATTTGCTAGTTTCCTCCGCACAAATTATAATGCCTTCCATAAATTGTGGGCTTTACTCTTATCGATGGATGTTGTTATATTATGGAATATATATATGCTTGCATTTGTTGGTATACCATTGAATATATATATTGCTATTGAAATGCCTCTGTGTAGAGATAGAACGTTACAGAATTCATACAGAACTGTCTGCTTAAAATTGCACATTTTGCAGCTGTTACGACCGTCACAACCCCCTTACGATCGCCACACGTCTTTTAGCGCGTTACGATCGTCATGCCTGTGTTATGACCGTAACACGGGTTATATCAGTAACCCCTGTAGCAGACATAAGCTCTTCTTCTGCAACCTTTCCCTCTTCCTCTACTACTTCAAAACCGTCCCACTACCTCCATCAATCCCCACTCACACCAATTAACTCACCATTATTCTCCATTAAATTTCAATCTTCCCATTACCTTCCTCCATCATATATACATCCCATAAACCAATCCCTCACACATTCCATCTCACAACCCAAACCCACTCTCTCTAACACTTTAGCATTCAAATATGGCAAACATAAACCAACAAATCCCTGGCATTTACTTACGCGATGGTCAACAAGGCGAAACCCAACGCACGAAGTTCTTGAAATTCCAACGCCGCGGCCTCCATCCCACGAGGTTCGTCGACATTGACTGCCTCAGAGACCTCGGATTACTTGAAAGTGTCCAACATCTCCTACAGAATGTCAACCTTTGGACCCTCTGTAGCCAGCCCCAACGTAACGTTAACGAGAAGCTGGACGAGGTTTTCTCTGAGCTTAACGCCTTACGCATGGACGTCACCGCTCTTGGCTCGCATGATACCGACCTCGAGGCCACACCTACCCGACGCTCCTGCACCCGAAGCAGAGGCAGAGGCCACCAGTAGTTTTCTTTTGTTTTTGTTTTTGTATTCCATTCATTTACCTTTTCGTCAGTTTTTCTTTTTGTAATCCTTCCTGCCATATATCATGACATTGAGACAATGTCTGATATAGTGTGGGAGAGACGTTATATTTCCTTCATGTTGTAGTAAATTTATGGTAACTCTATGATATTTTCAAGTTTTTCAAGTTTTCCCCGTATTTTAAGCCATACCAAAAAAATTCTCCGCTCGCATAGCTCGACATACCTGCCTCAAAACGGAAACCTAGTTAGGTAGACGAGAACGAGTAAACAAAATCAATACGACTATGACACTGTGAACATCCTACTTATGCAACCCGTCTAAACGAGACGTTATATGTACACCTCGATTTTTAAGTTCTGAAGTAACCCCTAGTAGTTTATACTAGCAGTCAGCACCGTCTGGACACAAACCACGTGGGGAGCCGATGAATATAAGTGTTTGATGCCTAATCAATGAAACACCCTTCTCATCTCGATGCTAAACAAAGAAAATCTTGTGCCAAAAGACAAAGATCGCATACGAGACATAAGTATAAGAGAAGAAGTCCATTGTTGGTTGGTTCAGAGGTATCTGGTTCTGAACTTGGTAGGGCGTGCTACGGCTCGATCCCCCGCAACCTCCAATTTGGAAAAATCTAGGGTAACCACATCCGTGTACCAGACCCCGCGACAAAAATAGGATCAAAGTCACTAACCGGATACTCCACTACGTGCGTGCAAAGACAAAAGGCTTAATGTGATTGCGCCAGAACGAAACCGGGCGAAAAAGCACGAGAAGATCGAGGTCAAAATGTGACGTAGCGATTAAGCGGTTTGTTAAAGTGGAAATACGCGACTAAATTGTGTCATTGGCACATCAACGACGTTTTACTCAAGTACCGGCCGACTGACGATTGGTTTCATGTGTTTTATCTCGAAAATAAAAGGTATGTCGTGCATGTGCGCCTGACGAACACTTGTCCGATTTTTACGACTATTTGCTTGAGGACAAGCAAAGGTTTAAGTATGGGAGGATTTGATAACGCGAAATCATATCATATATTTACCATAAAATTTATCCGTTTTATGTCGTATTTACCCGATTAACTCTCGAATATTCTGAGTTTTGTATGGTTTTATGCAGGTACAACATATCTCAGCTCAAACTAAGAAGAAACGTGAAATGTGCGAGAGAGCGGCCAAGACCAGAAGAGAAAAGATAAATGTGTCAAGAAATCCATAATTGCTGCCATTACGGTCGTCATGCCCTTGCCACGACCGTAAGACGCTTCAGACGCGCGTTACGCTCGTCACGCCCCTGCCACGACCGTAACGCGCTATTTCATGCAAACTACGCGTAACGCAGCAGCCACGCCCGTAACAAGCTTATAAGTGGTAAATTTTGAACGTGGTCAAGCAACAGAACGTGGTCAAGTAACAGCATGCACGTACGCCTTATTTTTCTCCAACTTCCAAGACCACCTTCTCCTTATTTTTCTCCAACTTCCAAGACCACCTTCTCCTTATTTTTCTCCAACTTCCAAGACCACCTTCTCCTTATTTTTCTCAGCAAACCAAGAATCTAGCGACGTGAAATATAATTCCAACTGTATTCATTCTCTATAAATAGCTTGGACTTCAAAGAAGAAAGGAGGAGAGTTTAGTTCACAAAAACCTTGCGGAAGCTCTGCCAATTTTTATTCTCGATTTTATTTCCGAATTTTGTCCATTTAAGTTTTCATTCCGAAGTTCCAATCTTGCCGGCTTGTGGAAGAAGGATCTCGGATTTTATTGCTTTTCAGGTTTTTATTGTATTTGATATAATTGCAATTTTATTTATTTTATTAATTTTATTTATGTTATATTTCTATTCTTTATTTATGATGTATGCGTTATTGTTTTCTGAATTTATTTCCTGCCTTTTAATTTCGAGCATTATGAGTAGTTAAATACCCGTAGTCGGGGTGTGATGAAATAACCGAATAAATTAATGTTTTCCTAAGCTAAAACCTTAATCAACTTAATTTCTGGCCGTGACTTTTTATAATTAAAAATTAAACTTTTTATTACGAGAATAAAGAAAGTGAAATAGGGAGAAATCAAGACCACGAGAGTGTGAGGTTTTAACCGGATAGCTAAAGTTAGGCATTCGATTTAAATACAGCGAGAGCGCTTTAAAACGAATTAGACTTATTTAGTTTTCAAAAAGATGCTTTCTAAACACTTATGGACTAGCGAGATCAGACATTTGGCTTTACGAGTATGATCCGAGGTAAGACCACGAGAGTGTGAATCGAGGGTTTTTAAACTGATAAGTACTACAGAACAATTAAGTAAATATTTTTATATGCTTAGGTACAACTTGTTTCGCATAGGTTCAAATCATTACACTCCGACCACTTTATTATTAATTCCCTTAATTGAATTTAGTTTCCCTTTAGTTTTAAACTTCTAAAAAAAACAAACGTGACAATTTCCGCCTTAGCTAAACTAACCTGTCCCTGTGGGTTCGACATCCTTTTATTACTACCGCGATAGACTGTGCACTTGCAGTTAAGATACCGTTAGACATTAGGTCGATCACAGCCACATCAAATACTATGTGGAAATCATTTGAAAAGAAATAACATGCAGGAAAATTCATCAAGTCAATGTTCATCAAGTTTTATACAGGTTCCATCGTTTCATTAAAAGATATTCAAGCATATCATTCAAGCTCCACCAAAGTTCATTCAACTTCATTCAAAATTATAAGTATAAAAAGTTCTAAATATCACATTACGAATTTGGTTCTAAACATAAGAATCCTAAGTTGATAGACTTGTGAACTTTGTGCTTTAGGTTGCCAAAACCAAACTTCAAGCTTCTATAACATCTTCAAATAATCTTCATGCTTGATGCCCTTATGTCTTGAATTTCTTCACCATGTTTATATGTTGTATCCATATCATCTATGAGCAAACCTGTTTCCCCATCAAAAGATACATCAAACTCCATGCCATGCCCTTTTCTTCCCTCTTCCTTTAGCTAATCATGCCAACAAATCACCGATCTATCCAAAAACAAAACAGTCCCTGCACAACAAAAACCAGTTCAGGAAAGTACACCAAAATCCTACAAAAAACATGTGAAAATCTTTGCCCACTAACTACAAACCATGATACATTCCATTCAAACCAAAATCCAAAGACAAATAAGCTAATACATACATTACTACATCACCTATATGTTCATGAACCGCAAAATCAATTCAATCAACAAATTGTGGCAGTGCAATCTTATATGCCATGATGCCCCACTTATTTACATCAAAATTCAAACAAAGAAAAGGGACAGTCAAACATCTTCATCATTTCACATCAGTTCATGATAGTAAAGAAGAAAAAAAAGAAAGTCACAAGTCACGATTCAATACTATTCCAGAACTTGTATAAAGGGCAAATCCTGCTCAATTTTGATGGTTGCATATCCATGTTGAGCATACGCTATATCAGTCTAATCAAGAAGGTATACTAGCCAATTCAGTTCAAGCTACTAATAGATAACACTCCATATTTAATCTACAACATCGAAACATTCAAAGCCAGTTCAACAGAAAATCAAAACACTAAATTCCCTAATCGATTTTAACAGCGGTCAGCAACTAACATTTTAGTTAATCATAACAAGTCCATAAAAAGGTATACTAGCCAATTCAGTTCAAGCTACTAATAGATAACACTCCTGCTCAATTTTGATGGTTGCATATCCATGTTGAGCATACGCTATATCAGTCTAATCAAGAAGGTATACTAGCCAATTCAGTTCAAGCTACTAATAGATAACACTCCATATTTTAGTTAATCATAACAAGTCCATAACTAACTGCAAAAACAGAATAACAAACTCTCAGCAGACCCCACAACTGATTTTCACAAGCCTCTAACTAAATCATAACAGAAATTCTGAACAAAAACTGATTGTAACTAACTTCTCACAGTTACAAATAACCGAAAATTACCTGAGATTGATCTCATTCTTCAATCACTCCAAAAAAACCACCGCAAAAACTTCTGAAACTCCATCACAATTCTCTATCTACATTCTCTGAATCCTATTTTCTCTGCACCATATCTGCATCGTCACTCTTCTTCATCATCAACTTATCTGTTTCATTCTCATAGGACAAGAACTTCAACACTTCAGCCATATCAACCTTAAATCCGTACACGCATCTTCATTATCCAATTTTCAAACCGCAATGCATCAACATCACTGCAACACACTCTCACCAACCTTCAAGAACGCTCAAATCTGGGTTTATTTCTTAGTTCGCAATTTCTCGACAACAACAACATCGCAATACACACCAGAAGAAGCAAAAAAGAAGAATTCATATAAGAAAAAGGTATAATCAGGTATAAGATTGTATGCAACACCGTACCTGAGCATTTGGATCGTATTCTCTGGGTTTCTATTTGCAACCATTATCGTTGAAGGAGCGACGGACGTTCTCCGGTAGGTAATACTTGAGTTTCTCTCATTCTTTTATCGTTTGTTCCGTATGCATTGGTATTATCGATCTGAATTTGAGAAGACCGGAAGCGTAAGTGAGATCGAAAGTGAGGCACGGAGAGAAAGGAAATTGATGAAAGGCGGCCAAGGAGAAGGTGATGCCATAGCCGCGAGAGGTTTGAATCTGTGAGTAGGAGAGGAGGACGGGATAATCGTCGTGTTTATGGCGGCCGGACGTTAAGGCATAGCGGCGACGATCAGAGCGTGAGGTCTGAGTATATAGAGATGGAGAAATTTTGCGCCACTACGAGTCGGAGAAGAGAGACCTGCGTTTTATTCGTGTGATAAGATGAACCATCACAATCACATAACCCTATCTTCTTTCCCTTAAACGCGCCATTTCTTTCCTTCGCCATTTTTTCTCTTTTAATTTCTTCTTTTCTTTTTGTTAATAATCAATAATAATGCTGGAGGATACAAAATCTGATAGAACTTTGGTCTGGATTGGGCTTAGTGCATAAGCCTAACCTTTTCACACTCTACCGTGATCCTTGCACTCCTTGCTTTAATAATTTCCACTTTGTTCTTTAAGTTTTTTTGCAATTAATTTTTGATGATTCTTGCATTATTTTTTCTGGTTTTTTTTTTGGTGTGGATGTTAACATGTTAGCCTCTGACTTGAAGATATTTTTTCCATATTTTTGCCATTAGTTTAGGAATTAATCGGTTAAATGTTTGAAAAGGGATTAAAATTATAGTTTTAACATGCTCTGATCCTTCTCCTTGATCAATCTCTTTGACATTATGATCGATTAATAAGAAGGGCCTGATCCTCGAATAAATGGTTGAGTGATTGCTTTTGGTTATGATCATGAAAAATGCTCAAAATAGACTTTATGTTTCATCAAATGCTCATGAGATTTGCTAGCTTTGTGATAGAATGTTGGTGCAATTTTTGTGATGTGGAACACTTGGAGATTAATTCGTTTAATCACTTGTGCGGAGTAGCCTCTGTAGAGTTTTCTCTTTGCTTGCATGGCTTCGAAGAGGCAATGAACCTTCTCTGTTAGGTACCATTTGAGCTCTCTTTACTCTCTCTTGCATCATTTATTTATTTCCTTGCCAAGAGAAGTAGGACTAGAGATGCATGACTGAGAATTCCTACTTTAGGTGGGCAATGCTATTTTAAAAGACCTTTAGAAGACAATTCCTACTTGTGTTTGTTTTTTTTACTATTTTGTATATTTACATTTATGCCAAAGACCTATACGAAAGCATCCCATTCCCATTCCCCATTGATAAGTCCTCAAAGAATGCAAGTGGAAAAGGGTTTGCAATCGACCCCCATAATTTCTAGTCCACAGGTTATTTTTAGCTCACATCATAAGTCGATGATACAAATTATGTTGTTCTTGTATTGAGTCGGTCAAGTGGAGAAGGGTTCGCAATCATCCCTCATGCTTTGTCATTAGCTCATGTGCCATGCATGTTGACACTCTGATGTGATCTCACTATTTCCTTTTATCTCTTACCTCGATGATGCAATATCTTGGTTGGGTGTTAGTTGCCTAGGACGATTCACTCTCATTCTTCTCTTAACTAGATGATACGATATCTTAGTTTAAAGTCGACATCCCTATTCTTCTTGCCTTGGTAACATGATACCATGGCTAAGAGCTATCGATTCCCCCATTTTTGCTTGCCTCAATGATTCAATATCTTGGTTAAGCCTCCATTTATCCTACCTTGATTACCCGATATCATAGTTAGGTGCCCCTTCTCCCTTGTCCTACCTCGATAACATGATATGATGGTTGGGCGTGATCCCTCTCCCTATCCTACCTTGGTGACATGATACCTCAGTTAGGTTTGTGCTACTTGAGTGAGTGGATACTCTTCAAGCTTTGTGTGTTTACCTTTTATTGCATGTTTACATGCTCCCGTATAATTTCTCGATTCAATCTTAGACAGCGAATTGAGATAGACTTTAGGTTGCAAACCATGCATGACAACTCTCAGCTTAATTTGCTAGTTTCCCTTATGCCTTTTTCTTTCTCTTTTGCATTTGCATTAAAACTAAAACTTCTTTTTTTTCTTCTTTCAACTTCAAAACACTCTAATAATACAAAAACCCTTTTTCAAGGTAAAAATACCAATTATTTCAAATTTTATTTTTACGCTTGGCTTTATTTTTAAAACCCCTTTTCAAGGTAAAAAACATTCAAACAGAAGCATGTGAGCTGAACTACGACGTTGTGATTCCTCGAAAGGGATACGTAGGCATTAGGTCGCAGGGTCTAGGCGAGCAAAACTTTGTAAATATTTCTTCTTTTCCCCATATTTTCTTTCACAGGCATTCCCTTTTAGTATTAAGCTTTAGACATGGATTTTTACACACCTTTAGATCAGATCAAACAAGAGTGAATCCTGTGGAGTATCACAAACGCATGGGGTGTTAATACCTTCCTTTTGCGTAACTGACTTTCGTACCCTTTCTCTTAGTTACAAGACCATCTTATCTATTTCTTTGGGGTTCTCTCGATATCTTACCTTCCTTCGGGATAAATAGAGTCTGGTGGCGACTCTGTGTTTTTTCGCGGTGCAACCATAGTGAACCAAGTCATAAACTTCTCTATGTTCAGAAAAGGAAGGTTCACTAAGCGAACTTGCAGCGAGGCCCTGGCTTGTTAAGCAAAGTCCTAGCGAGTAATTCTTTATTTTAATTTCTCCAGTCCTAGACTGTTGGTAAGCGAACTTCTTAACGAAGGCTACTTCGCTAAGTGAAACATAGTTCGCTAAGCGAACTTCGCCGCGTTAAGGAAAACCAGAAAATGCATAATACAATTTTGGGTCCCAAACACCCAGAATCTCTACATGCAATCCACAAGGGACAAGATACAAAATGAAATAAGGATGCATGTACATACTATTACATCAATGGGGTCAAAATCATGCATTTACAAGGATTTATGATACACATATCACTCAAATCCTTATCCCACATAAGCCCCGAAACTCCCCAAGTATCTATCTATGAGACTCACCTTGAATTAGAGGTAGAAGAAGTTGGAATATAAGTTTATGGTGATGAATCAAAGGAATGAAATGAGTTCTTGATGCAAGTAAACCAAAACTTGGACCTTGTGGTTGAAACTTCTCTTTTCCTCTCTCTCTTTCACGCTTCCTCTCCTTCTCTCTACCAAAAATCTATTTTGTTACAATTGGGACAAAAGAACATGAGAAAAACAATCCCTTAACTTCTCTTAAGTTGATACAATGACCAAAATATCTCCCAACTAGAAAGTAATTACTTATATGCCCTTTAGTTCAAATCCATCTAATAGATAATCATCTTCATAATTGAATTAAAGAAATAGGATATTACAATCTCAATTATTTGAAAATAAAATAAAATAAATAAATAATTAATTAATTAATTAATACTTTAAATTTATATCATGATTATATAATATCAAATAAATAATTAAAGTATATTTAGAGAATTAAGAAGTTGTGAAACCTTGTTATACACTATCATTGTTAAAAGTAGTTTTTTAAATTTGAACAACTTCGTAAAAATAAAATTGTAATGTAAGTTATACTTATTAGCGTAAATTTACAATTTTGTACCAAGGTATAAATAATAAGTATTTATATGAAATATAATTTCATAGAACATTTATAATGCAAACAATACTACTAATAATATGAAAATTTTCAAAATATTTATTATTTATATATAATTAAATTTAATAACAACAAGTCAACAACCACGATAAATTGGAATATCGAAACAT